GCTTGTTCATCACAGGCTGCAATTGTATTTCTGTACTGCTTAATAATTAGATAATAGTATACTCTGGTGCTAAACCCTCAGGTACTAGGGACTGCCTTGGGGAGAGGGGAGTGCTAAACAGGCAGAGTTCTGGATCTCCTTCTTCTGATTGATTCAGAAAAAGTCTGTTTTTATTTGTTTTACCTATTGGACTTATGCTTAGGTCTCATATAGTCTTAGATGCTATATGCTGTACATACCTTGAGAATATAGATAAATAGGTTAGTGACCTGTCTATGGAAATTTTTGCAGCCATGAAAATTCCAGTATACATAAATTGAATGAATACTATATTATCCCTATTGGGGATAATTAGAAAAAGATGGAAATGGAGGTTAAGAATAAAAAAGGAAGGTAATATGGGTGGTAGTAGTAATAGAAATTTTTGAAATAAAACTTTGGGAGGAATAAAATGGATAAAGGAAAATAAAGCAGTCTTAGAACTGCAAGTGGAATGTGAGTGAGGAAGACGGAGGGATCTGGGGAAGCAGGAGATGGGACCCAGGACCCTGGAAGGTGGAGACTTGGGGAGGTGGGACATAGAATTGGAATTGTAAGAGGCAGAAGTAGACATTCCTGAGATGTCATGAAATCAGAAGAGCTTTGAAAACTAGGAAGAAAGATGTAGTCCAACAGGGGAGGAAGAAAATCAAGTAATCACAAAATTATAAAATTATAACTATTATAACTAAGTATACAGAGGAGAGGTATATGTTGTGTTGGTACCATGTGGAAGCAATGGCCAAGCTTAGATCTGAAGGAAGTTTTGTACTTGGTGTTAATGTCATTTCTGAGGGTGCCAAGTACCCTTTAATTCCTACCAAACTACCTAGAGTATCACTCTTTCTGAACCAGTGTATCAGGGAGAGGCATGTAGTGGTAGTGCCCAGCATGACTTTGGCTGATTCTGGAGGCAATACCAGTGTGGTCTTAGGACCATTTACCTACTTGCTAGTTGGTACAAATCCAGATCTTTAACCCAGGGGGCAAACAACAGGGGAGATAAATTCCCTTTTACCGTTTTTTGAGATGGTTTCATGAGTCTGAGTAGGTTTTTCTTAGTTCAGTTCCAGCTGTCCTGTCATTTGTGAATCGAGGTGAATTAGTGGTGAGGGAGATCCTGAAGAGTTTTTATGATAGAAAATGAAAATTAGTCATAAGTACTTATTATCACTAAAACAAAACATTGGAATATTCTGGAATCTGTAAGGAACTAATAGATTCACGTTATTATACTTTGTAATACCACAGTATGAAGCAAGTACATATTGAATTAATGAACAGGAAAGTATTACATGAAGCTTTGAGAAACCATAAACTTATATTTCAGCACATTTATGATGCTAGATTTCAACTAAAGTTTTGGAAAAGTTTTTTATTTTATTTTTTTACATTAAGCATGTGTTTGGTTTCAAGTTCGCACGTGGTCACTAATGTAAAGCTTTTCTTTTATAAAAGAGCTGTGAAGTAACAGGAGGAACTTATAACAAAAACCTTGATCTGAATCCAGTCTTCTCCACTTTAGTGAATGGTAATTCCATTTCTCCAGCTGCTCATCCGATTAGTCAAGAAATCCCTTCGATCCTCTATGGAACTGTATCTGGAGTGCAGTTACTTCTAATCACCTGATCTGTTCTCTAGGTCAAGTCATCATCTCTATCTGGACCACAGGCACTAGCTGATCTTGCTGTCACCCTTGCCTCTCCATAGCCTCCTCTACATTTGGTAGCTAGAGTGATTCTTTAAGAAAAGAAAAGAAGTTGGATCATGTCAGTCCTGATCCTAGGTTTCGCATTTTCCTAAGTGAAATCTTAAAAAAAAACCCCAAAAACCCACAAACATAAAAATCTTATGTGATCTTGGCCCCTGGCTAGCTCTCTCACCTTATTCCCTTTTATTCCACCTCTTGGTTCCTGTGTTCCAGCTACTACAAGCCTCCTTGTTATTCCTCCAACACCCGAGGCATCTTCCCACATCTGGACTTTTGCACTTGCTGTAATTCTCTGTTCCTGTGTGCTGTTTCACTGGATAGCCACATGGTTCACTTTCTCATCTCCCTTAAACCTTTGCTCAAATGTCACCGTATTAAAGAGGCTTTCCCAGACTACCCTCCATGAAATAGCTCTTCTGTCTGTCACAATCTGTTACCTTAACCTGATTCACTTTTCTTTAAAGCACATATTATCCGACATGTTAATATATATTTATTTGTTTGTCTTTCTCAGTAGCATGTAAGTTCCATGAGGGAAGGATTTTTTTGTTTTGTTTTCTTGTTGTTGTTCATAGCTGTATCCTTAGCTCCTAGAATGGTGCCTCGCATATTAGGTCCTCAGATATTGAATGAATGAATCTTAAATGCATCTTTTGAAAAGAGTACTTTTAATAAAAAAGATGTCCACTAGATGGCACTGCTTTCAAATTTTATGTAATTAATGTCTGGGAGGAAAACATAAGATCTTTTCTTTTGCTTGTTGTAACCAAAAAAGATCTTCGTGGTGAAGATTGTCATAAGAAATTCTACGATTAATGTGAGGCATATAGAATACTACATTTGTATTTGGTTTTTGATTTATATATTTTTAGATACTTTTTCTAAAATAAAAAACATTTGGAGAAACATAGAAAATGACAGCATATTCGTGTGTAAATATCCATTTGATATAGGTATTCAGCATGATAACTGTGGATAAGGTTAGTTCAGGTCCACACATTGACCACCCTCCTTCTGAGGTGCCTTTAATGGAATGAGAGAGCAGAAATAGTTTCCAGAGCCTTTGACTATCAAGCTGCTGGTTGAAATCCAGCCTAGTGTTAGATTCAGAAAATTATTACTGTCTGTCAGCTGTTCAGTTGTTGTTGCCAATGACTTAGGTACTCTCAGTCTTGTTCCTAATCGACTGGGTATCCAAATTTTGAAAAACTTCCATGTTCTGGCAGGTGTCACCATCCCTATCCTATTAAAAATCAGCAGGTTCCAAGTGTCAGAGCTTTTTATCTGACTTCTCTGACTAGCACTAAACTCGGCAAATAGTTGCCCTAATCAAGAAATTTACACATTTTCCCCAGACTCTCAAAATTTGCCCGTTCTGCTTTGCCAGTGTCATCTCATTTCTTCTTGCTTTCATCACTTACCTCATTTCCTCCTTTTTTTCTAGTCCCTGTGCCTCCCTCTCTCAAGTACTTTTCCTGAATGATCATTTGATCCATTCTGTACTCAACTTTTTACACAACTTTCGGTACTATTCCTTACTCCTAAAGTAATTTTTCCTCTTCTTGTTCAAACCAATGATGCCTTTTCTTTTCACATTGTTCAAAATATACTTTTTTGTTTGTTTGTTTGTTTTTTTGCGGTATGCGGGCCTCTCACACTTGTGGCCTCTCCCGTTGCGGGGCACAGGCTCCAGATGCACAGGCTCAGCGGCCATGGCTCACTGGCCCAGCCACTCGGCGGCATGTGGGATCTTCCCAGACCGGGGCACGAACCCGTGTACCCTGCATCGGCAGGCGGACTCTCAAACACTGCGCCACCAGGGAAGCCCCCAAAATATACTTTTTAAGGAATGTTATTAACTAGTTTTTTTTTTTTTCTTTCCTGTTTCTCTTTCATTTCTGAGTATGGCATATGTGAGGAACTTATTTTATCTCTTTAACATTCTCAGCTTCTTCTTGGAGCTCATTAACTATTTAGAAATGAAAACACTATTCTTTTATACTTTTGTGTTGTTAAATGGAACATAAAATATAGGATGGTTTTAGTATATATAGTCCTTCCTCCCAGCCACCCTTGGATGGTTAAGTATGGGGCTAATAAGGTATCATTTTAAATAGGAGACAATTACACTCAAAGATTTACATTTTGTATTTTTAGCCTGAAATATTTGAAATTTCTAATAACGATTATAGTTGCATCTGTTTCAACTTGTCACTCTCTAATGCTCGGCCTACCGCATGCATTAGATGGCCTACCCCATGCATTAGATCTAGCTTTGAGGTCGGAATTCAGTGTTTAGAAAATAATTTTTTGTTTACTAAGGAAATATTGGACACATCCATTTGTTTAGAAAATAGTTTCCTGTTTACCAAAGAACTATTGGATAGCACTTATTTTGTATGTATTTAAGTTTTAATTGAGAAAACATATTTTTCTGGTCTGAGACATGGAGATTTACTGATATCTGATTATTAGAATGATAATATTCTATATTCAAATATATTTCATTTCTGAAAATGAAAGAGTTTTTCTTATTTACTAAACATATGGTGCTAGTCAAATTTTCATTTATAAAAAAACATATTTTTATGTTAAACCTCAGAGATATTGCTTGCTCAACATTAGATGAGATTAAAAGCCCTTGCTAGGTTTGTGCTCTGACTGGTAATCTCTTTTAGTGCTTACAAACAAGGGCTTACATTCCATAATTGTATATGAAGCCATTTTGCTTATACCTGCTCTTTTTTTTTTTTAATACCCGCTCTATTGATAAGGCTTTTTTTCCAGTGTTACTTATGGCTTATGAGTTTCCTAAGTAAAATTTATGTGGCCTTAAATATTGACTATTTTTATTTATTTATTTATTTTAATTTTTTTGGTACCATTTTTAAAGGTTACTTTCCATTTAGTTATTACAAAATATTGGCTACATTCCCCATGTTGTACAATATACCCTCGAGCCTATCTTAAACCCAGTAGTTTGAACCTCCCACACCCCGAACCCTGTATTGCCCCTCCCCGCCCCTCCCCACTGGTAACCACTAGTTTGTTCTCTGTATCTATGAGTCTGCCTCTTTTTTGTTATATTCACTAGTTGTATTTTTTTAGATTCCACATATAGGTGATATCTTACAGTATTCATATTTCTCTGTCTGACTCATTTCACTTAGCATAATGCCCTCCATTCATGTTGCTGCAAATGGCAAAAAAATATTGACTGTTTTTGCCTGTGCTATTTTTTCCTCCACAGACTGGTTGAGATAGCAGAATCTCGTTTTCCCAGATACTTTAACACTGAAGAAAAATTACTTTTGACAAGCAGTAAAGTTCATCTTTATCGGGAACTCAGCTGTGATGAAGTTCTACAAAGGTATGCTGTCTTAGATTTTGGTATTTTAGTAATACTTTGAAGATTTATTTTTTTTCATGTTTTCAGCTTCTGAGTAAAAAATAGTCCCTACAAATTAGGATTATGAGAAGTAATTATTTCAGTGTTCTTTATTTACTACTATTGGTTGAAGTATTTCTTTAAAAATGAAAAATATTTTAAATGAATAAAATGTTTTCGATTTAACTAATTAAGTGGTATGTTATGTACTGTTCTATTAACCAATTACCCCAAAGTTTAGCAGCTTAAAACAGTAAACATCTGTTATCTCACATAGTTTTTGAGGGTTAGGTATCTGGGAATGGCTTAGCTGAGTATTTCAGGCTCAGCGTTGCTCAAGAGCTTGCAGTTAAGCTGTTGACCAGGGTTGTAGTCATCTCAAGGGTCACCTGAGGCTGGAGAATCTTAGAGAATTCCAGGATCATTCATGTAGTTGCTGGAAGGCCTCCCTTCCTTCCTGGAGAGGCCTCTAGTTCTCACTATGCGGGTCTCTCCATAGGGCTGCTTACAACATGTTGTTGACTGAAAAAAAAAAAAAAGCACACAACCTAAAAGTTGAGAATTATGTTTTATTCAGCAGACATACTGAGGACTTAAGCCTAGGAGGCAGCCTCTCAGATAGCTCTGAGGGACTGCTCCGAAGAGGTAAGGGAGAAGCCAGGATATAGGAGTTTTTGCAACAAAAACAAGGTAGTTGAAACATCAAAAAATTACTGTTAATTAAAGAAAAAACAAACATCTTGAGTTAATGAATTTAGCACTTTTGTACGTATGGGAAGATGCAAGAGTCTGGGCTCATTGAAATCATTCCTTTGATATGTACCTTAACTGTCTAGGGCCAGTATCTTGCTTTTCTCTATTCTGAATTCCCTCAGGGTGCACAATCAGGGCAGCTGCAGTGGCTGATGGCTTGATGGCCTCAACATCCTTTGTTTACTGATGTGGCAGGTGACATTTTTGGTCCACAATGGTATCTTGCCTCTGCCAGAGTCAGTGCTCTGAGAGAGAGTGGGCAAGTAAGAAAGAGCCCAAGATGGATGCTGTAGACCTTCACAACCTACTCTCAGAAACGGTGTACTGTCATTTTGTCATATGCTATTGGTCCACAGGACAACCCTGGTACAATGTGGGAGGGGACTCCACAAGGATGTGAATACCAGGAGGTGGGAGTAAATAGGGACCATTTTGGAGCCTGGCTACGGCAAGCAGTTTTGCTCTAAACTGGAGCTTTAGCAGTATCATAAGAAAACCAAGGGAGCTTCCCTGGTGGTGCAGTGGTTGAGAATCTGCCTGCCAATGAAGGGGACATGGGTTCGAGCCCTGGTCTGGGAAGATCCCACATGCCGCAGAGCAACTGGGCCCGTGAGCCACAACTACTGAGCCTGTGTGTCTGGAGCCTGTGCTCTGCAACAAGACAGGCTGCGACAGTGAGAGGCCCACACACCTCGATGAAGAGTGGCCCCCGCTTGCCACAACTAGAGAAAGCCCTCGCACAGAAACGAAGACCCAACAGAGCCAAAATAAATAAATTAATTAATTAAAAAAAAAAGTGGATAAGCAGTAAAATCTACATTTGAGCTGATACATGTCAGAAGAGAAGTAAATATCGACACGTTTCACATTTGAGGTAGGTTAGATAAATGTTTGATTAAAAAGAAAAGGAAACCAAGGAGTGAAGCTAAATGAAAACATTTTGGCCTATTTCCCAAAGAGTGCAATATATATAGAAGAGCTGAAAATAATGTATGTTTATTGAATATCTGCAATAATTATTGCAACTTAGGGAAGAATAGTTTGTTGTTTTAAAGGTAGTTAACCTTTCCATGCCCTATTTTTTAAAATTATACCTTAAATTTATCCACTATTTTATAAATTCTGCTTTTACAGGATTGAATCCTTGGAAGAAGAAATTATTTCAAAAGGAGTTAAACTTGTGATTATTGACTCTGTTGCTTCTGTGGTAAGAAAGGAGTTTGATACACAACTTCAGGGCAACATGAGAGAAAGGAACAAGTTCTTGGCAAGAGAAGCAGCCTCTTTGAAGTATTTGGCTGAGGAATTTTCAATCCCAGTAAGTTTTTCTTTTTCTTTTTTTCCTCTTTCTTTCTTTTTTTCCTTTCTTTTATATTTTCACTAACTTATAACATCAAATAATATAATTAAAAGGAAATTAAAACATGACTTTTTAATGGTAGCACAGTCTAATTGCTATAGCAAATACCACCATCTTCTAAAATTTGTTCATCTCTTGAGATTATTTCATCCTTTTCACAATTTGAGCCTAAGAAGATTTAAATATTGTTTTCCAAAGTTCCTATAGTCAGTACTTTTCTTCTCTCTCATTGTTTAGTCTTTGTGTATGTTTTTATATTACTTTTATCACACTGAGATAAGTAATAAGTATTAAAACTCCATGAAATTGCCTGTGTCTGTTTCTATACAGCTTTTTTTTTTTATGGCAGAAGTTGTCAGTTTTATAAGTATTTAAGGTTTAGATACTGTTATTGTGTTCAGTGCTGTTTTGTACACCATAGGATTTGGTTTGCTTCAAAAGCCAGAGGTTGATTTTTTAGGGTGTTTGGAGTGATAGTAATGAAAGTGTAAGTAAGGAAAACTTGAAAAATTACTCTTGGCATGACTTTCAGTAGTGGGAATTGTGATCAGGAAATCTGAAGATGAGGTGTATTGCAAGGGTTTGTGCTGGGTAAGCTATGAGTACTAAGTTATATTCCCGTTAGCAGTGTGTGGGAGAGTGCAGCTTGCTCTGAAGTCTCACCAACATTTAGCATTGTCAGGCTTTTCAATTTTAGCCATGCATCATCTCAACAGAAGATAGGAAAATTCCTTAAACTGAGATAAAATTTAGTGATGATTTTATAATTTTTAGATTTGTTTGGAAAATTAAAACCTTGGATCTTTGTAACATAGAGAATATGTACTGTTAGTGGAAACTACCACATAGCCTTTGAGATTGATAAACCTAAGCAAGAATCGAGGGGGAAAATGTGGCATTCAAAAAGTTCTACATGTTTGAATGGCTTTTAAATTCATATTTTGGATTATATGGTATAATTCCTGGTGAATCGAGTGCTGTAAAGCTTATCTTGGATGATGCTTATCTTTTAAATTTTATTATAGTTGCTTAAAAGGACAAATTCAAATCCATATTTTCCCTGGTCAAGGAGAATAAGAGAATTTAAAAATATTTTATAGAGTTACTTGATTGAATGGAAAAGTTAAGTATATATGTTTATTTTATTCATATTGTTGTCTACTTAATCTTGTGTAAAATATGAAAATTCACTTTTTAAAAGTTATATTTGTTTGTTTTTATTTATTTAAAATATTTATTTATTTATTTGGTTGCGCCAGGTCTTAGTTGTGGCAGGCAGGCTCCTTAGTTGTGGCATGCGAACTCTTAGTTGAGGCACGCATGTGGGATCTAGCCCTGACCTGGGCCTCCTGCATTGGGAGCGTGGAGTCTTATCCGCTGGGCCACCAGGGAGGTCCCTGTTTGCTTTTAAATTGTAATTGTAGGCTAATGTATTTCAGTTTTTTCTGAGGTGATTATTTATTTTCCTGAGTGAGAAAGGGGCTCTTCTTTTTTGTTTTTAATAGAGCCCTCTGAAAGAATAGGTACTTAGTATCCTCATATCCTTCTGTCTTTGCCTTTGTTTTTCTGTTCAGAGGTAAATGCAGAATATAACATGTGCTTATGTAACACAGTATGGTATTGGTTTTTCTGACAAATCAGTATTGGTTTTAGAAGGCTTTGAAAAATACTTCCTTTAGGAAATCTCAGAATTTTCCTAGCCTAATTACCTCACTTAAATGGAAAATCATAAACTTTTAAGCTTTTATGCTATACTTTGAATAGGTGGCTTCATATGGAAGTAAATGCCTTAAAAGATGTGTTGTTTTCTGGTTCATTATACCTTTCAAATTAGCAAACCTTATGCTTCCTGGTACTTAAACGTGCCAACAAACATTCCTGCCCCAAGAAGTGTTTGCTGTTCCTCAGCCTGGAATATCCCTCCTCTATATCCATTATCCATATTGTCTCCTGTTATTAGTGAGGGCTTCCCTGACCATATAAGTATTAACCACACTCCCTGCCTCTCCATGTCTCTTATTATGCTTTATGTTCCTCCATCATAGTTTTCACCCTCTAGCATTATATATTTATGTTTATTGTTTGTGTGACCTCACCATCCCATAGTACGGTTAAAGGGATTCTTTCTACTTTGTTCATGGCTTTATTCTCAGTACCAGGAATAGTGCCTAACACATAGTAGGCACTCAGTAAATGTTTTTGAACGTATGAATTTAGATACTGCTTTTCTTCTTAGACTTGATTTAATCTTATGTATGTTTATACTGAACTTAAATTTTATTATTTGCTTTTATCTTTACTTTGATCCTATCTTTCGTATTGTTTACTATTTATAATAGTAATAAAATATAACTTTAGATGGCAGAATCTTATCATATGGGAGCTGGACTCAGTTCACACTGGTGTCTTTTTTTTTTTTTTTTTTTTTTTTGCGGTACGTGGGCCTCTCACTGCTGTGGCCTCTCCCATTGCAGAGCACAGGCTCCGGACGCACAGGCTCAGTGGCCATGGCTCACGGGCCCAGCCGCTCCGCGGCATGTGGGATCTTCCCGAACCAGGGCACGAGCCCGTGTCCCCTGCATCGGCAGGCAGACTCTCAACCACTGCGCCACCAGGGAAGCCCCACACTGGTGTCTTATAGGAAGAAAAAGAATTCTTAAGATTCTTAAACTTGGAAAAGGCTTTAGAGATCTAGATAGTATCACAGAACCAGGAATTAGAAGAGATTTATCTCAGTTTAGTAAAACTGTGGCAAGTGAATGTCTGATGGCCTCTGAAGATTGGGTAGAAAGCCAAGCATTCCAGCCTGTTCTTTGGCTGTGGGTCTGAGATGGTGGATAGGGCCAGGATGCCTGGCATTTTGATACACTCTAGATATCATCATTCAAATGAGAGTAAAGAGTAAAACCAACTGGGCTGTGGGTTGAGTACTTTATTGAATTTAAATATTTCTCTACAGTGAACTTTCAGTGCTTTTAAAATGTGGGGGAAAAGCTTAAAATATAAGTTGTATTTAATTTCGATTGTCACATTGTGTATATATTTGTGTATGGTATGTACAGTTGTCCCTCAGTATCTGCAGAGGCTTGCTTCCAGGACCCCTGCAGATACCAAAATCTGCAGATGTTCAAGTCCCTTATATAAAATGATTGTCCTCCTTATCCGTGGGTTTTGTGTCCAGGGTTTTGCATCAAAAATTCTCCAAGTAAACACAGCCTTGTAAAGCAACTATACTCCAATAAAAATTAATAAAAAAAAAAAAAAACTAAAATGTATCATAGATTAGAAAAAAAAATTCTCCAAGTGAGAATTTTTGATCCATGGTTGGTTGAATCCACAGATATGGAACCCTTGGATATGGAAGATGATTATATGTGTGTTTGTATGCAAGCATGCCTGCGTGTGTGGAGATTTCAACATCCTTTCTCAGTAATTGATAGAATTAATGGGCAGAAAGTCAGAAGACTTGGATAACATAATCAGTCAACTTGATCTAATCGGTGTTTACAAAACATTTCCATTCAAATGCCTGCAGAATACATATTCCTTTCTGGTACACATGAGATATTCACCAGTATAGACCATATTTGGGGACATAAAATAAATCTCAACATATTTAAAAGATTGAAATCATACGAACTGTGTTCTTTGACCCCAAGAGAATTAAACTAGAAATTGGTAACAGAAACATGTCTGGAAAATCCACAGACATTTGGAAATTAAACAAAAATACTTCTGAATAACCCATGAGTCAGAGAATAAATCACAAGAGAACTTAGAAAATATTTTGAATAAAAATGAAAATACAACATATCAAAATTTGTGGATTGCAGCTAAATCAGTACTTAGAGGGAAGTTAATTAAATGCTTATACTGGAAAAGAAGAAAATTTTCAAATCAGTGATCTAGCTTGTAAAAAATACAAGAAGAAGAACAAATTAAACCCAAAATAAGCAGAAGGAAGGAAACAATAAAGATAAAAGCATGAATCCATGAAATTAAAAATAGGAAACAATAGAGAAAAGAATCAATGAAATAGAAAGCTAGTTCTTTGAAAAGATTAATAAAATTGATAAAACTGTCACCAGACTGACCAAGAGAAAAACAGATTAGCAGTATCAAGAATGAAAGAGGGGATATCACTGAAGGTCCTACAAATATTAAATGAATAATAAGGGAATGTTATGAGCAACTTCATTTCAGTAAGTTTGATAACTTAGATGAAATGGACAGATTCTTTGAAATACACAAACTATCAAAGCTTACTGAGGAAGAAAGAGATAATCTGGATAGTCCTATATCTGTTAAAGGAGTTGAATTTGTAATTAAAAATCTCACAAAGAAAATGCTAGGTCCAAAGTCTTTACTGGTAAAATCTATCAAACATTTAAGAGAGAAATAATATCAATTCTATACAAACCTTCCAGAAACTTTATAAGAAAACTACAGAGTGATGTTCCTCACGAACATAAATACACAAATCCTTAAAATATATTAAAAAATTAAATTCAGCAATAAATAAAAAGGATAACTACATCATGACCAAGTACAGCTTATTTCAGGAATGCTTCATTGATTTTGAATGCAACATTAAAATATAAAATTTACTACAGCAACACATTAAAAAAAAGGATCATCTCAGTAGATGTAGGAAGGAAAAACAGTTGACAAAATTCATTAGCTATTCATGATGAAAACTCTGAGCAAACCAGGAGTAGAAGGGAACTTTCTCAACCTGATGAAGGGCATCTACTAAAAAACTACAGCTAACATCATACTTAATGGTGAAATATTGAATTCTTTCTTCCTAAGATTGGGAATAAGGCAAAGATGGCCCATTCTTGCCATTTCTAATCAACAGTGTATTGTAGACTCTAGCCAGTGTGATATGGCAAGAAAAAGAATTTAAGTATACCTGTATTTAAATTAGAAAAGAAGAAATAAGACTATCTTTATTC